TCTTCCAGTCAGTTGGCCAGATGGCTGTGCTCCAGATTTCTTGGCACTACTTAGTGAGCACATCCAGGGCAGCATCTATTTGTTGAAAAATGTCAATTGGTGTGCCGTCAATTCCTAGAGCCTTGTTTTTTGTCAATTCTTTCAGAGCAGCTTGAACTTCTTCCTTCATTACCACAGGCTCTTGTTCATACATTGTTTTATGAAATATTACATGGGATAAATCTTCTGCAAAGGACTCTACAAAGTGCTAAAGAGCAAAGATGTCACTATAAAGACTGAAGTACTCCTGACCCAAGCCATGGCATTTTCCATTGTTTTGTATATAAATGAAAGTGTTTGACAGTGAATAAGGAAAAATTAATGCCTTTGAATTGTCATGTTTGTGAAGAACATTAAATACACAACAGGCTACATAAAGAACAAAGACATCTCTTGGAAGAAGTGCAACCAGGGTACTCCTGAGAAGGAAGAATGGATTTCACACACTTTGGGCATGTTGTCTGGAGAGGTCAGTCTCTGGATAAAGATAGCATGCTTCAAAAGTGGGGCATCTGAAAAAGAGAAGACTTTCAAAGAGATGAATGACACAGAGCCTGCAACAATGAGTTTATGCACAGCACAGGTTGTGTGGTTTGTACAGGATCTGTCAGGGTTTCACTCTGTCATACAAAGTGTTATTGTGAGTCATAGCTGACTTGGCGACATCTAACAATACCTAAAGACATAACAGTGAAGAGATCCTCAAGATAATACAATTTTAATGAACTTAAATTTACCAAGAGGAAAATAATTTATTAATTTTTGTGATACCTGTTACATTTGAGCTCAACATTTAGAATGCTATTCATTCCTTTAATTTTAAGTAAATAGTCACTTTTATAGTAAAATTTGTATTTTTAATTTTTTTCTTTTATATTGATTTGCTTACAAAGTTCTTATTGTGCTTCACACTATTATTCATCCACATTTTTATTAATTTAAAAAATGCTTTCTACAAAACAAATTTGCTTATGATTGGTATGAATAATAAATGTTTTTCTATTTAGGTATTTTACCTACCTCAAAATACTTGATATTTCACATCTCCTAGATATATTTGCCCCACAGTAGTTTTATCAGCAAGTACTGGGGATTAGAAACAATAGGTTCAAATCTCCTAGTTGTTCTGTAGGAGAAAGATGGGCTGTTATCTCTCATGCAATTCACAGCCTCTGAAAACCCACTGGAGGGTCAGAGACGAATCAGTTCTAACGTGAAGGCACACAACAGCACAGTTTAACAACATATTACATCTTTTTGTAACCAGCCACTTTAAGATTATACAAATACATTAAAAAAATTTAGATTCATTTTTTAAAACAAAATCTTCACATATAAAGAGGCTATGTAATATTTATCATAAATTTTCAACTTTTCCAATTCACCATGATTCTGCTTGGCCTTAGAAAGCCTCCCCAGATGTCTTGCAGGTGCTTCATGCTGGCTGAACCACAGCATCTCCTCACCTTGACCCACAGGTGGTAATGAACTTTGCCTTCTCTGGACAGGATTGTTGGCTCCTTTTGCCTGTGCTATTTGGAGTTCCTGCATGGTCCAACCAATTAGCATGGTCAGCTACTAGTTAAAGGGTTGGAGGTTCAAGCCCATCTCAAAGCACCTTAGAAAACAGGTCTAGTGATCTTTCTTCCAAAACAAAAAAGAACGTTTGAAAACCTTATGAAGCGTATTTCTGGTTTGGTGCATATTATGAGCCAGAACTGACTCAATAGTAACTGACGTTTTTTTAAGATGTTTCATACTTTAGTTGTCTTCTTAAATCCTGAGCTTTTATAAGAATGTTTACTCCTAGTCTTCTTGTTGTCATCCCAGAGGAGCAGCCAAAAAGCTGCTGACCTGTTCCCCCTCCTTTTTGTAGACTAGACCCCAAGCTTGCAGGCTCAGCCCACATGGCTACCACCCTTTCATTGCAACTTTTCTCAAGGCTAATTTTCCTTGATCTCTTTTTTTTTTTCCTCTCCAGGTTTGTCAAAGGCAATTCTCTCCAAGTGGTTTTAGGAGCACATTCTCTTTCAAAGATTGAGGCTTCCAAGCAAATACTTAAAATTAAAAAGTTTATACCCTTCTCACGATTTCCATCCAATGATGATGTCATGCTGATCCAGGTACAGAGCATCACCTTCCTTCATTTTCTTCAATGTTTTCATGCAACATGGCTCCGTTAGTTCAACCAAATACACACCATTATTATCTTAGTATCCTTGTTTAGGGGTGATTGTGACATATTCTACAAGGGTCCAGCTTACTTTTTACACTGCCTGGAAAAGAGCAAGAATTTATCAGTAGTAGAATTAGAATTGTGCAAAAAAAGGAAGCTCTGATGCTCACTCCGTGACAGAGGAGCTTCACAAGGCCCACATGGAAAATCCTTTCCCCAAATGCCTTTCTCATTATCAAGTGAAAAATAGATTATTAGCTTGTACAACCAAGCCAACCAAAGGACTCCACAGTGAGATATAACTTAGTCTAGACCTTATTTAGTCTAGTGCTGGCTTAGTCTAGACCATGCTCAAGGGGCCTATCCAGCAGGAAGAGGCCCAACCCTCAAAGCCATGACCTGTGGATGCTATTCCAAAGAAACCTTTCATTCAGTGCAGAGCAAAGGCCAATGTGTTTTAGACTGGGCGGAATTCCTACTCTGTGTTTAAACTCTCTCCCAGGCATCCCTGAGCCCCACAGGGAGTGGAGAGCACGTTCAGAAGAGCAACAGTCACAGGGCAGCTGCAGGCTACCACCAAAGTAGATTCAAAAAAGAGGGACGCCCTCCTAGGACTGAGAGACCACACATATGCCACTCAGGATAATAGCAGAATCCTACTGAGGAAGGAATGATCATGTATTCTCTATCTCCAGCTTCACAAGGCCGCAGAACTCAATGAAAATGTCCAGTTGTTACAACTAGAATTCAAAAACGATGTTCGAGCTGGAACCAAGTGCCAACTTGCTGGCTGGGGAACAACTGACCCAGATTTCTTTAGCTCCTCGGACACATTACAAAAAGTCACTGTTACTATCATAAGTCGAAAATTATGCAACAGCCAGAGTTACTACAACCACAGTCCTATGATAACAAAAGACCTGGTATGTGCAGGAGACACCAAAGGCAAGAAGGACTCTTGCCAGGTAAGAGGCTTGGGACTAGGAATACTGATGACTTATTGTATTAGTTAAGCAAAGGCTGGCAGTTCAAATCGCCCACTGGCTGCTCCATGGGAGAAAGATGTGGCAGTGTGCTTCAGTAAAAATTTATGAATTAATTTTGCAATGTCCTATGAGCCAGAATTAATTCAATGATTTGATTTTTGTTTGTTTGTTTGTGTTCTTTTAGAGCTAAGAGCCTTAGATACCCTTCCAATAGCATCTCAGACTGCTGTCAAAGCTCTCCTTGCTGACTAATGCAGAGAAGGAACAGTGTGGAGGACACAGGGTCATAGAATTAAAATCTGATTCTCTGTGCCAAAAGTCATTCTCATTTGTCAATATGAATGAGTTGTACAAATTTATCCAGTACCTAGTAACCACTACCTGTTGTTTGTTATTGAGGATAGTAGACTCCATCTGTACATTTACTGGCTTGTCCATCCTGAGGTCATTAGAAGTGACTAGGAGAAAAACAACAGAGGAGTCAAATGTAAAATGTAAAATACTCTTAAATAGTTCGTTTCTTAAATAAGTTTATTTTAAAAGTTGATATACTGATCAAAAGGAAAAACTTATTATGAAACTTATAAAAACTTTTATTTCCTAACATTGGTGGTGGTGGTGGTGGTGGTGTTATGTGCTGTCAAGTTGCCTGAGACTCATATAGCAACCCTATGTCCAACAGCCTTAAACCCTGCTCTATCCTATGCCAATCTTATTGTCTCCAACACATCTACTCCAATTACCCTAGTCACTGAATAAATCCATCTCATGGAGGGTCTTCCTCTCCTGCACTGTCCCTCCACATCCCAAGGATAACATTCCTCTTCAAGGACTGTTCCAGCCTTGCAACATGTCCAAAATACGTCAAAGGAAGTTTCAGACTCCTTGCCTCCAAGGAGCAGCCTGGTCTCACCCTCTCTAGGACAAACCTATTTGTTCTCCTAGAAATCCATGGTGTATTCAATACTCTTCTCCAGCACCACATCTCAAAGGCATCAATTCCCCTTCTATCATTCCTAATCATTTCCAGTTTTCAGATGCATAGCAAGTAATTGCAAAGACCATGGCCTGGATCAGGCATACCTTAGTCTCCAGACTGACACCATTACTCTTCAGTACTTTGGAGAAGTATCTGACAGCAGACTTTCCCAATGCAAAAATCATGTTTGTGTTTAAAGAAAATAATAATCATCTCATTACTGTCCAGTCAGAACTGACTCAGCTGAACTTCTAGGGTTTTAGAGACTGTAAATCACACAGAAGGAGCTTGTCCATCTTCCATGGAACATCTAATGAATCCAAGGTACCTGCTTTGGGGTTGGCAGTGTGACTCCCTATCTACTAGGCTACCAAAGCTCTCATTATCTTTGTTGTTATTAGGTGCTATCGAGTCAAATACAACTTATAGCAACACTATAATCAACGGATATGAACCCTCTCCTATCCTGTGCTATCTTCATAATCTCTGACACACTTGAGCCCATTGCTGCAGTCACTGCGTTACTCCTTCTGGTTGAGGAGGTGACTAATACATAGCGTATTATGTATTAACACTTGTAATTACATATCATACTGCCTTTGAAACCTTATGGAGCATAAATCTACTCTGAGATGCACGGGATCATGGTGAGTCAAAAAAAAATGTATGGCAACTGGTTGAGCTTTTTGTCCTTGTTCCGCTGCTGTTTGTTTTTCATTGTGACTTGAATGAAAATTTACAAAGTATATTGGGTTTTTTATCAATAATTCATATCTATTTTGTTTTACATTAGTTACAAAACAAACCTTCTCTGATCATCCACTTACTGCTTTTCCCTTTGCCCATTTTAATAAGAGTTTATTCTTTATTAATATTTTTTTTACTCCTCTCTTCCTTCCTTTCCACCCCGGTAGCCATACTAGAATTATTTTACCTATGAAACCAGGCTGCTCCTGGATTCTGAAGCTCCTTCTAACATACTTTGGACATATTGCAACGAGGAACCAATTCTTGGAGAGAGACATCATGCTTGGAAGGGTAGAGGGATAGTGCAAGAGAGGAAGATCCTTGATGAGATGGATTGACTCAGTGACTAGGGTAGTGGGAGTAGGTGTCTCAGAGACAATAAGGTTGGCTCCGGATAGAGCAGGGTTCAGAGATGTTGTACATAGAGTCACAGGTGACTCAATGGCACATAAAAAAAACAACAACAACAAAGTTCTGGTGACCCACTGGTAAGAAACTACCCTGCCATCGTGAAGGCACGCAGTTTGAATCCACCCGCTTCTCCAGGGGAGAAGGATGGACAATCTCCTCCCATGCGATTTACTGTATCTGAAAACCCACCAGAGGGCCAGCTATGGGTCAGTTCTGACTCAATGGTAGTCAACAACAATAAAGCTTTCTTTAGATTTTTGTGATAGTGGTCTTATACAATACTTTCCTTTTGTGACTGACTTATTTCACTCAGTATAATGTCTTCTGGATTTATCGATGTTCTGCCACTTGTTTTGTTTTTGTTTTAATGCGTAGCATCAATGAATTAAGGACCTTTGATGGTGTTGTAATTAAGATAGAGCTACCCAAAAAGTCGATGGTTCAAATCCACCAGCTGCTCCATGGGAGAAAAATGAGACAACGTACCTCCATAAGGACTTAAGCTTTGGAAACTTTCCCTGAGGGGCTGTTCTACCCTGCTCTACAGGGCTGCTTTGAGTAGGAATCAACTCAGGGACAGTGGTTTTGGTTTGAGTGTAAATTAAGTACTTACCTTCAAAAATGAGACTATTCCCATCATAGTAAGCATTATTTAAGGGATGAGGAGTGCTGATTTCAAAGATTCTTTGTGTTTGTGGTGACCCAAGATTATCATCTACTTGAATTATTATCTACTTGAATTCTGATTGACCAGAATACAAAAGTCTTGAAGTTAGCAGCATGACTAGGAGCCAAGAAGGAGGTAGATCTTCAGATTTAAAAACCAGCTCACTCTTCATCTGCAAGCTCACGTTACAGACTATAATTGTCTCCTCCTCTTTTTTTTTTTATTGTCTCCTCCTCCTGACAAAATTTTTTTCCATGGTTTTTTGTCAGATTGAATCTCAATACTCATTTCATCCAGTGAGTACTCTAAGTATTTTCTATGTACAGAGCACTGCGTTCAAACATACAAGGATGTGAATAAAGGCACAATCATAGAAAGAATATAGTCCCTGATATCAAGACATTTGCATACATTGCTGTTTTCTGCTTGGCTCAATAGCCACTTGATTTAAGGTCTGTGAGCACAAAAGTCAAATACAAAATTTTCTAAAAATGTCATTTATGTCAGTAGAGTGTTTCGAACTTTGTCTATACTCACTTAAAACAAAACAAAACAAAACAAAGTTCAATACTCACTGGTCACCAAAGGAGTATGTATATATATAAATAGAGGTAGTCCAAGAAAGAACAGATACATGGACATGGACAGAGAGACAATGGCGAGGACATGGCCACAGAGAAGCATGTATAAAGAGCACCTATGTCACATGCTGTTCAGAACACAAAGAAGCAAAGGATACAAATAATAATTTGAATAAATAATAGGTATAGCCAGAAATAATGCAACACTTTCTGACCAAGAACCTGCCCATTCTGTTCTTTCCAGGGTGATTCTGGTGGTCCCTTGATCTGTAAAGGTGTCTTCTATGCCATAGTCTCTGCAGGTCACAGATGTAGTATTGCTAAGAAACCTGGAATCGACGCCCTAATAACCAAGAAATACCAAGCTTGGATCAAAAGACACCTTGCTCCGTCTCATACAAGTTAAATCATTTTCTTGGATCTGCCAGTTGCTTGCTATTTCATTATAGGTTCTACAGGCCAGCTTGATCTTCAGAGGTGGGCGGGTAGAGTAAAGGCAGGGCACAGGCAGCGTCAAGCTTTTTCCTCTTAGGGTTGATTTTATTTAAAGAATAAAGTCTGTAGTGCAACAATGAATGAATGGAAACCCAAAATCTCTGTAAATGTTTATGAAAATTAATAAAATATAATTATAAAAAATAAAAAAAAGAATAAAGTCTGGAGGGAATTTAATTGGTTTGCTTACAAAGTTTATGTACATTGTATTTCGTACTATTCTTCATTCACATTGTGTTTCATATAATCATTTGTATTCATTATGCTTTATAAACTTAATCACCATTGGACCTTCACTACCCTGTCTTCTCACCTGATCCTTTCCATTTCCTTCTACCCCTCCCTCTATCCACCAAACTGTGCAGCCCTGTGATTTCAACCCTACCTATCCTCACCCCTGTTCACCCCCATTTTTATGTCACTGATGTACCTCTACTATGCTGATTTCATTCTGAATAAAGTTTGGAAGATGGCTTATTTTGTCTTTTGTGGAAATATGGTAAGGCAAATAAGAATCCCAATTCCCTTTCTACTCTTTTCCCTAAAGGGTGACTGAACAATCTGTTTAGTTGTAAGTAGAATGTGATTTCTGTGATTAATATAGATTGTCTCCTTTTAAAATAAGAAATTATAAATTGTAACACCCTAGCCATAAAGAATTACAGCCTTACAAAAGAACCTAAAACCTAACAAAAGAATTATCTAGGTTTATAGAAATATTTAAGGTAGCATTGATTATTTATTAATGACTCACTTTGTTCCAGAAAGAATTTAAAGCTGGATACACAAATACTTGCAATGAAACCTTTTTTTTAATGTAGAAATTGAGGCAAAAGAAAAGGAAAGTACAAAATTTATAATGATCAGAATGTTGTTAATAATCAGAGTCCATCATGTCCATCCAATGTGTTTGCTAGAAGGAACATCTAGCTCTATGCTTCCCATTGTTGCTGTTGAATTCCATCAAATTGGAATCGACCCATAGCTGACCCTTTGGTGGATTTTCAGATGCAGTTAATCACATAGAAGGAGATTGTCCATCTTTCTCCGGTGTAGGAAGTGGTGTATTCGAACTGATTGCATTCGGGATTGCAGCACAGCTTCATACCACTAGGCCATCAGAGCCCCCATGCTGGTGCAAAAAATCATTACAACCATTTATGTCAATTAAAATGTCCAGACAAGAAAAAGAAATTGTTTGTAATGGCCAGAAATAGCATGACTAGTGCTGAAACTAAAACTAGAGGGAAATTTCCCCCTAGTCCCCTTAAAAGGACACTGTGTTATGGTTCCCATATTCCTACCAAAGGTATCCGGATCAACTGAGAAAAGTGCTTTTAAACCAGAGTTTCATGGTCCTTTTACTCAAAATTCAGAATAAATAGGCTTAAGATAAAACTGAAGACCTGTTCTGTTCTATTCTAAAAACAAGTGTTGATCTCCAAATCCTGAGCATCACTATTAGTTAATAGCCTTAACGAAGTCAGAAAACAAAGACAACAATGGGAACGATGCGTCACAGCATTGTTCTGTATAACTACTTGCTTAAGACTAATGTGCTATTCAGTGTGTGCACTTAAAGGGCCCAGCTGTCTTAGACCTGGACAGTCCATTGATCATGAAGATAGCAGTTTCTAATTAAGGAAGGTGGGGGGGAGGAGAATACTTCAGACTTCTACTTCAGCCAACAGATGCCAAAGTCTCAGCCTCTATACTCTAGACATCAAGGGACAAATAGTGTGGATTTCCATATTTGCGCATTTAGCTACATATTATGCATCAGAGAGCTGGGCAATGACTAGTGATGATAGAAGGAGAATTGATGCCTTTGACCTGTGGTGCTGGAGGAGAGTAGTGAATGGACCATTAGGAGAACAAACAGATTCATCCTAGAGAGGGTAAAACCAAGCTGCTCCTTGGAGGCAAGGATTCTGAAGCTTCATCTGACATACATTGGGCATGTTGTAAGGAGGACCAGTCCTTGGAGAGAGATGTCATGCTCAGGAAGGTGGAGGGACAGCACAAGACAGGAAGATCTTCAATGAGATAGATTGACTCAGTGACTGCGGTAATGGGGGTGAATGCATCAGAGATAATGTTGGCTCAGAATAGAGCAGGGTTCAGATCTGTTGTACACAGGGTCACTATGAGTCACAAGTGACTCAATGGAACATAACAACAACATATAGAAATAGATGCTTTTGTCCAGTTGGCTAGTTGTTTGATTTAATGGTTGGCTTAATTTTTGTCACGCATCTTAAAAACTAATAACAAGTACAACCAAACAAAAACTAATAACAAGTACAACCAAACTATGAATACTTAGACAAAGTGAAGCATTGGAAGCTTCCCTAATTAAAACCTAATTAGTTAAAAGTAAGTGTTTTGACAAGACAGAAGTAAAAATATTTGTCTTTAAATATTAATCAAAAATTCCAGACTATATTTTATAAGAGAAGAAATAATGAGCCTCTAGATTTATTATTTTTAAAAGAAAATTCTCTGTTTTCTCAATATTTCAAACCCTTATAAGTCTTTAAGAGCAAAAAAGACTATAGAGATTTCTCTGGATTCCTATTGGTGACTATCCTGAAAAGTCGTCACTAACCCTTGAGACTGTGTTTTTGTTTCAGACTCCACACTGTCAACATCCAGTTGTCAAGTTAGATCAAAACACCAGGCAGGAAGCTTCTTTCAACAGCTGTGATGGACCTGGAGACTCTGAAATTGGAAGATAAACAGTTTATTTTGACAAGCAGCTGGTGACAAAGCCACAGTTGAAGTGCATCCCTCATCCTTTCAGGAAGACAGTATTTGGTTAAAGCATACCCATATCTCCCCGGCAGGGCCTAAAAGAAGACAGTATTTTAATTCTGTGAGGGATTGGGTTGTTTGTCTTTGAGAGTTTATTTGATTCTTTCTGTGGCCTCCGGGGAAGTTGAGAGTAAACTTGAGCCAGAGCTGTTGTTGCTACTGTTGAGTATTGTCAAGTGGAAACTTAACATAGCTGAACCTCAAACAGGTTTTTTGTTTGTTAGTTTGTTTTTTCCTCGTTCATGAGTATTCCACATTTTTTACTTAAACAACATGCTTTTTATTATTATTATAAATTAAAATGAAAATTTACAGAGATTTTAGATTTCCATTCATTCATTGTTGCACTCTTCTCCCTGCCCAACCTTCCCCTCCAACTTGTTCTTCTCTTTGAAAAGTAAGAGAAAAATACTTTTATTGTTATACAGTCCCTCCTCCCAAGTCCACTCCAATATGCAGCCTTCATTGCTCATGGGTAGGAAGACTCAACAATATTGTGAAAATGGCAATACTACCAAAGGCAATTTACACGTTCAATGCAATCCCAATACAAATACCAATCCCATTCTTTAATGAGATGGAAAAGACAATCACCAGGTTCATTTTGAATGGAAAGAAGCCCCAAATAAACAAAACACTCCTTAAAAACAGAAGAAAGGTAGGAGGTATTGGTACAATGACAGACACATAGATCAATGAAATAGAATTGAGAACCCGGAAATCAACCCATCTATCTATGGTCAACTGATTTATGACAAGGAGATGAAATCTGTAAGTTAAGTGGGAAACGACAGCCTTTTTAACAAATGGTGTTGGAAAAATTGGAAAAGTATCTGCAAAAGACTCAAGCAGGCTCCCACCGCTGGACTCCAGGGATCCCCTCACCCAAGATGGATGGTAGGCACTGCCCACCCCCCACACCACAGCAGAGTGGACTGGTTCTAGGGAAAATTCTTGGAGCCAAGATAGCGGCGACGTGAGGTTGGGGCTTCCCTGGGCAGACCAGAGAGGAAGATTATCAATACAATGGATTGATGAGAGTCTCTGTGAGCTGTTTACGGCTAGATGACATTTAACTGTGATAGCATGTCCAAAATGGCAGATATCCTCAATGCACCCCATCTTTTGATCTGCTGTCTGCCTTTGCCAAGAACTGTGTAGATCTGGGGGTGCGGTCTGTTCACCACTCTCAGGTCCCCTTCTCCACTTATAAAGGGGGAGGGCAGTAACACCTACTTCAAATTACAGTATGACCACTTACTGGGGGGGGAGGTGAGACCAGAATTAGGGACGCTGTCCCTGACCACATGGTCTTCAGTGAGGCGCAGGGTCCAGACTTGGGGAGGGGGACTTTGGTGGGAGAGGGTGCCAGCCAGCCTGGGGGGTGGGGGGGTGTTGCCCGTTTTTTTGTATTGTTG